AAAAAAAAAAAAAAGCCACACAAAAAAGGGCCTTCATTGTTAAAAAATTAACAATACTTATTTAATTTTGTGAAAAAAAATCATATATAATATGGAAGATGTTACAGTTTCGTTACATAACCATTCCGTCGGGATTTTTAATTTTTAGATTATCATGTAACCGTCGAGGATATTTGATCTAACGGTTACAAACTGTCGATAATAACATTTTCATATATATATTTGTTTTTTCTGTACTGTTTATTTTGTTCCCAATAAATTGCAATCAAAGCACTGAGTCCCACCTCAGCTACTTTACTAAACCTTGTATGATTTTGGAGATTGTGGGCAACTTGGGGCTTTAGTGGATTAATATCTATTTTTGTGTTTATTGTACTATATATTGAGTATGGACCAATAATATACATATAACCTATCATCATCAATCACACTTTGGAAAAATATAGTGCTCAAAATAACACATGTATAGTATAAAAAAGTTGAAACAAGTATGGGAATAATTAAATTGTATGGTCACATGTTGCCTATGGATAAGTGTTATTGTGAAAAATCAACTAATTAATTTGGCAAAACGTTATCATATTATATATATGATAGTTATGCAACGCGTTCATCGAAGTATTAACATATGACTGGATAACACATCTTAATATGCTCACGACGAATATATAAATGAACAATATGTTAAATTATATAACGTGTGACTTCAGTTAACAACAATGTTGTTTATGTTTAGATTGTTATTTGTTTGTTTCTTAAAATTATTGATTTGAGCTCGAACAAGAAGTTGAGCGCTCGTTTATTAAACAAATCAAGTCGCAACATAGACTGGTAGATCACAAGTTCAGTTCCTTGCTTACTAGCCAAATTAATAATTGCAAATTTGTGGTCTTTTATTGTAGAACGAGCCTATAATCGAGCTTCGGACACGAGACCATGCCAGGGTGACCGCCCCCAATATCATCGGTCCAAAGAAAGTTACGAATGGCCGAAAATAATCGGGATATTATATTGCCATGTTTATATAATATTAATTTTAGTTATTGCATCTCCATTTTATCGCAAATTTCAATTTTAAGATTTTTTTTAACCCAAAACTTATTTTCTATTATGAAATAACACACTCTTACCTAAATAATATATTTAACTCTCACTAAAGAGTAGCATTTTAGATGATTATTCTTTTTTTTTTTTATTGTATGGTATAAATAGTTCAAAATTATCCAATATAACTAGCATTTGATTAATCAAGCCCAATTTT